AAATCTTCAAAATTGTCATCAATCTTCTTCATATCTACTCAGCGTGCGCGCAGCTAGCCACAGCAAAACACAATTTTCCCTGCATCGTGGATAGAGTCGCCCCCCTCGGACGATGCATCCTTTCGGATACGCTTGAATTCCTCGCGTTTGAGGCACTGCCTGTCGGAACCCTGATGAGCACCGTAACAGTTGACACACTTGATAGCCTCAGGACTGTCCTCTGGGCAGTCGGAGGAGGCATGGTCCTTGATGCAGAAGCTGCAGTGTGTGTTGATGTTGCAGTTTCGGGTGCCGTGTCCGAAGTTGAGGCAGCGCTGACACTGCGTTACATCGCGGCGGCCACCACGGTAGGACTCTCAATGGATGATGACGTTGAAGAGGGAGCGGATTGCTTGCAACGCATTAAGCGTCACCGTCCCCTTCTTGAAGTGTACCAGGAAAAGACAATCCTGGTGGGGCCAGCTTGTGCCGGTTTTTAATTTCAGCTTCGACCACCTTCGTTTCGAAATTCGGTAAGCCTCGGATGACTACCTAAATGGCTTGTCGTGTGTGAAAAATTCCACTTTGGAATTCTTCAGGAAAGCCAAAGCATTGTTGTAGTCCACTTAGGTGTGTGTTGTGTTCTCGAAGAGAAGGAAACTAGTTTTAGGTTTAAGAGCTAATTATTTTCAGTTTGTTACATTCGTACCATGGCTACAAATCATGGCCTACCAGGCAACATATTCTTCTGATGTGTACGCCGATGGTACATCTCCCTTTTTTTCAAAAGAGATCGTAGGGTGCCAGCCAAGCTGGAAGTCTACGGGTTCTTTCTTCACGCTGTTGAACTGGTTCTTGATATTCACACTGTTAGCAGGAACAACAGATTCGTCATCCGTAATTACATCATCTGGAATTGGTTCTTTTATCAGCACTGCTGGGACCAACGGTTTCGGAGCTTGTAGGTGGAACTCGTCAACTAGCAAGGCCAAGGGAACTTGATTGCGTGGATTTGGAGATTGATCGGCATTATTTTCATCCGGATATCGTTGTTTTAGCTGGTTGGTATGTGCTCGAATCAAGCGTCCATGTTCGAGCAAAACAGTGCAGTTCACTTTGCCCTTGGGCTTGATTACCTGTCCTGGAATCCAATCGATTGTGTTGCGACGATGGACCTGAGCGTAGACCAAATCATCCGGATCGAATAATTTCTTCACTGCGCCATGCCGTCTGTTGAATTCAGCGTTCTGCTTCATGTTCTCCAAGGTTGGAGTCTGAACACAGGGCTTCAATAGGTCCAGCGTTGTTCGTATTGGTCTTCCTAAAAATAGTTGGGCAGGTGTCTTACCATCCAGAGCGTTTCTATTTGGAGTTGACCGGAAAACTGAGAGGAACATCTGGAGATGCTGGAATGTTACCATAGTTTCCCCTTCGGTTAGTTTCTTCAGCCCTCTCTTAAGGGTGTCGACAAAGCGTTCAGCTTGCTCATTCGATTTGTGGGTGGTAAGGGGCTGTCGTCAGGTGGTGGATCCCATTTTCTTCACAGAATTACTTGAATCGAGTACTTACAAACTGGGTACCTTTGTCCGAAACGAGGGTGTGTGGGTTGCCGTACCTCGCGAAAGTTTCTTGCAGAATTTTCAATGTTGCTGTAGTAGTTGTACTGCGGGACCTGAAGATTTCCGGCCACTTCGAATAGGCGTCGACCACGACGAGGTAGTGATAACCATCAACTGGATCTGCGTCCTCTCCCACGGTTTCGTTGGGCGATTTTGCTGCAACAGCACAGGGGCGACACTGGTGCACAAACGTTTCAACATCGTCATCGATGTTGGGCCAGTAAACGAAACTTCTTGCGAGTGACTTCATTCGGTCTATTCCGGGGTGTCCACGGTGGAGTTGTCGGATGATGCGCTTGCGGAATCGTTCTGGAACTACAATTCTGTCAGCGATCATGACGCAGTTTTTGGTGACCTGGAGGCTCTCTCGTCGGGAATAGAACTGACGAACAGCTGTATCTGGTAGCACGCTTACAGTGTTTGGCCAGCCATTGCGGATGTAGTTGATTACCTCTTGTAGGACCGGGTTGTCTTGCGTTTCCTTGGAGATCATATCGGATGTGACCGGCAAGCTGGATATTGAGTCTGCGAGAATTGCCTTCACGTCAGATTCCGTTTGGAGAGCAGCAATCACGTATTCCTCGTCTGGTTTGCTGTAACAGCTCATCAAGCGGGACAACACGTCGGCATGTCCAAAACTAGCCGTTGGGATGAACTGTATGTCGAAATCATACAGCAACATCGTTAGCGCCCAACGCTGAAGACGATTGGCGGTGTAAACGGGAATGCCGTTCTTGCTGCTGAAAATTTTAAGGAGCGGTTTGTGGTCGGTCTGCAGCACGAATTTGCGTCCGAATATCATTTTGTGAAAACGGGTGACAGCAAATACCAACGCGAGCGCTTCCTTCTCAATTTAACCATAGTTTTCTTCTGCAGGTGTCAGCGATCTCGAAACATGAGCGACGGCTTTGACGGAGTCGTTGGAGAAGCGAAGTAGGATTACAGCGCCCAAACCATTCTTGGAAGCGTCTCCAGCGACGATGATTTCCGTGTTGGGGTCGAAATGAGTCAGCAGGAGATCGGAGACCAGGATGGTTTTGAAACTTTTGACAGTCCGCGGTCCATTTCCAAGGAGTAGACGGCGCTCGAAGTTCTGGCCATCGTCAGTAATAGTTGATCGCTCCAAGGTACGAACGTAGTTGCGATACATTTTTCGGTGGTTTGAACTAAACTGACAACATATTTTCAGTTTGTTACATTTGTATGTACCATGGCTACAAATCATGGCCTACATATTCTTCTGATGTGTACGCCGATGGTACATCTCCCGAAGAGCTTCTTAAGCTTCTTGACGGTTTCTTCGAACTCAAAATCCCGTGGATGATTCGGCAAAACGCTGTTCGCGTAGCGTTCGTGGAATTGTGTGCCGATTTTCCTCAGAAGCAGCCTGACCTTAGCTTTATCGTTCAGGTGCTTCCCGTCCTTCTTGAATACGTCCTCGTATCGAGCGTACCACGATTCGAAAAATAGTCCTCCGTCTGGATCATAACGAAACTCGTCAATTTCGATGAAGAGTGACTCGATGATCTTCTCGCTTCCAACTTGATTGACCTGTTGAAGGGCTCCAATCTGCTGCTGCCTTGTCTCTTCGGTGGTTGGAACTAAACTGACAAAATATGTTCAGTTTATTACATTCTTACCATGGCTACAAATCATGGCCTACCAGGCAACATATTCTTCTGATGTGTACGCCGATGATACAGTGTGAAGGATGATCTTCGTGCCAATCCCGCACAGCGTGTACTTGGCAGCGACGCCGAGAGTTGCCATCTCTTGAGCCAGCTTGTCGAGTGGTACTGACTTCACCACCAGAGGTGGGAGTTTCACTTTCGACTTTTCACTTTTCAACGGACCCGCCGAAATCACCGACGTCACTACCGTTGATTGCTGTGGCATCATTGGAGGTGCACGAGATACTCTAGTAAAGTGAGAATAAATTTCAAGGACGAGTTCGGACAGCTTTAGAATCCAAACGAGTATACCAAACCAAGAAACTCAAAACCATTCACTGCACGAAAGGAACACAAGGTTGTTTGCATTTTCAGTTTATTCTTATCATGTACTTTCCATGTCGGTTTCTTCAATGTGTCTCATCAATGTGTTTGTTGTCTGCATATTAGAAGCATGTCATTAGCTTTGCTGGACGCGACCGATGATTGGTTCCTTCGTCCGCGCCACAATACATGCAAGGGGTACTTATGTATGTTACTTCTCTTTTTCAAATGTTCTCATTGTTTTCAAATTGTGTGCTTTGCTATTACCATTACTGTCCGTGTGTCTCTGTGTGTTTGTCAATCTCTTCAGTAAACGTTCTGCTCAAACTTAAAATAGATTGTATGCTGCTTGCCGTTTTGTAACTTTCCTTTTGCTTATCTTCCTAACGCTTCTTTTACCATTTACACACACAAGCACAAACATATCGTTTTTCCAGATGTAAATCTACTTGTCCGTTCAAGAGTTTTCTCGACCTCAAATTAGCAGGGTTATTTACCAATGCAATACTCACCACAACACACAAAACTGCTCTCTTGTTCGTGTCGAAATTTGTCTCTCCTGATCATGATAATCCGTGGGCATAATCTTCCTTACTTCTGCTTAGTAGATATTCTTCTTAAAGTGGAGATTAATGCAGGATGTTTCGTCGTCGCCGGCCCCCCCTACCCCCACGGGATGAAGGAGCGACGACGTTCGCTTTGATCTAATTTATAAGTTTTCTGTTTTCATAATTTTTGTTTTGTTTCGCAGTCGTCATCGTCGGGAGTGATCAGACGTTCGGAATGAGTCGTTGGCTCATTTAAATATATATTTTCTATAAGGTAGTGTTACTATTTCCTTCCAGTCCTACGCTCTGTCAGCCATATTCAGCAGATCCATTAATAATAATAATAATAATAATAATCGATAATCGTCGGTTAACGCGAGTAATATTTGATACAAAAAAATAGGAGCGGATTTCGAGTTGCTTGCGTATTTTGCTTTTGTCTGGTTTCATATAAATAATAAGCTATAATTTGTTTTAAAATTATAAAAAAGTTAAATCATTAATTTTAAGTAATATGAATATCACAACATTTCTTGTTTTTTTCTCTTCCTTATGTTTAATTAGATTTAGTTCAGCTTAACCTTTTCTACCGTGCTGGAAGTCATGTGTCCCATTGGCCAGGCAGCGATTCTTAACCGAAGCTATGTAGACTTGCAAATTGAAACCACGCGAAACTACCTAATCATGTATGCCAAATTGCCAAGTAGAAGTACAGATCTATTGAATGTTCAAATACCAGAACTTCTCGTCCTGGGCTCAGTTGAACTTTGCACAGAAAGCATCTATTCCTTAATCCGTTATAGAATATCCTCATTCTGTGAGGTCGTGGTTGCTTCTTAGCTTAAGCTTTCCGCTTGCGAGGATCGTCTGGTCGTGACGGATTTGAGAGGCCCGCGAAGCATTTTAAATTTAGAGCATCACAAGTATTTTGGATCAAGATAACTTGTGTGCCAAAAACGTTGGCTGGAAACATGACGCTGAGGATATTCTCGATTATACTGAAGTTCGTTGGTTTAGTAAGGGAAAAATGTTAACCCCTGTGTGCTCGACAGTTTTTGATTTTTTTTTCTACACCGAAGAAGATTGTCTCGTGTGGTTACTTGCAAGTTATTGTTCTATAAAAGCTTATTTTAGGTACTATGTTTTGTGAAGTTTGGTTACGAATCACTGCCAACAACGGGAACTAAGCTTCGCACGGTAGAACAAAAATAGAGAGAAACAAAAAAAAAAGCAGTTTCGAAAAGGTCCCAGGTCACGGAACCCCAACCCGGTGTCTTAAAGGGAACACAAACCTTCCCCCGTTATTCTACGCCGGGGAAACAGGAAGTGGAAGTTTTCATTTGTTCAACTGGGAAACGACAAGTACGTCCATAGAGATGGGGCTGCGAGTTTTGCTTTTTTTCGATGAAAAACTACAGCAGATTTTTCTTACAGATAATCAATAATATTCGATTTAGTTTTCGGTATTGATAGGCAAAAAAGAAGAGTTCAATTCAAAAAGAAAATAAATCAAACTTAACTAAAGGAGTACTTCAGTTGACTTCAGAGATTTAAAATAAGGAAAGGAAAGTAGGGTTTCTTTCTTTAAAATTTAGAACGGAAAGCTCTCCAGCGATAGGACCGGGTCGCAACGCAACCTGCGTGGTGTGTGTTTGAGACTAGGAACATTTAGCTTTTCTTCGAATGGGATCTCTTTGTAAAATTCGCGAGTAGAATTGAGATCAAAAATAGGACACACACACACTCCGGAGATTCCTTTCCCCTTGTCCGACTGATTAGGCGAAAGGATTACCTGGTTGCTGCTGCTGTTGCTGAGTCGCTTGCTGTAGGAGGGTATGTACCGGAGCGATAAACTGATCAAGACTGGGGAAAGATGTGCAACTACTGCTGCTGCTGTTGCTGATGATTGGAAGGAATTGATGCTGCAATTCCAACGCTGCAGGTCAGGCCTCGGTACCGCCGACCATCGATGAGCAGCAGTTTTTCGGCGTGTAGACCGACGCATTCGGATCCAGATTGGAGGGACAGTTGTTTGAGTTTTGCATTTGTACTATTTGGCCATTGGAGCCGGTAACGGCACCCGCTACCGTCACAATACCGGCTGCAGTTTGCTGCTGATGCTGCTGCTGTTGATGTACCGAATGCGGGATCATTCCGGCACCACCAGTTACCACATTGTTCACAGATCCTACGACACCGGACATGGCTGCCGTCGGTGTCGTGATCGTTGAGGTCAGCACACCCAGCTGGCTTAATTGACTCATCAACGGTGGCGAGTTCATCACAATGTGCGACATCGGGCTCTGTTGCCCGTTCATACCGGACTGAGAGAGCAACTGTGGTGCGTCGGCCAGCCGCAAGCCACCACCACCCGATGAAGGAGGTCCGCCGGGACCCGACAGGCAGAGCGCATCACCAGTCACCCCTGGCATCACTGCCAGCAGTTGAGCGATTTTCGCTCTCAAGTCTAAAATCTCCTTCTCCTTGGTACGAACGGAACCTGCGAGTAAGGGATGGATGGAAGTGGGTTGGGCATAAAAACAGACGCTTTCTAATAAACGGTCACATCTTACAGGTAGCAATTTCCAGCTGGCGCCTAGCGTCTCCGAGGGCCGAGAATAAGTCCAGCTTAACTCTCGTTTCGGCCGATAGGTTCTTCTCCAGGGTGGCATTCTTGTCTTGCATCGCTGCCAGGGCCGACATGAGCACCTCGGAGCTCTGCTGCGACTCGCGGTTCCGCAGCTGTACTTCGATCTTGCGCATCTGGAATAGGTTAGATTAGAGTTAACGAATGGTGATTCTAGAATTGATTTGAAAATAGCATATTGACAGTGAGCCTGCATAAGGGCGCATATGTGATGATCGATTCCCTTAATCGATTTTCTCTTTGCTCTTTGCTACAGCAAACTCACCGAGAAACGTTAATTCTAGCGAGTTATTAACAAAAGAGGAAATCGACGAAGAGAATCGATCATCACGTTAACGCCCTCATATGCATGCTCACTGTCGAAATGTTAATCCAAGCGAGTTATTGACAAAACAAAAAAGTAAAGGGTTGTGTCCTAGACACGACCGCAGTATGACGTAGAACCACACAAAATTGATGTTTTTCATGCATTTTTGACTATTATACTTTATCTTAAAATTTTCAAGTATTTCAATGTTTCGGTTATGGTTGACTCAAAACAATTTACACATTTTTCTTGACAAATATCCATGTGAAATTCTACATGATTTTCATTTGACCACACATAAACAGAATCCACTCAGAAGTACACATGAAATTTACACGCAAATGAATAGTATGTGTGGTCACGCATGGTTTTTATATGTACATATTGTAAGTATGTGGCCGACACATAGATATTGATTTGTTAGGAGCGGTATTTGAGGGGTGGGGAAGGGGGTTTAGGAAAGGTTGTTGATGAGTGGTGGTGGGGGGTTAGGAGAGGTTGTTGAGGGAGGGGAGAGATTGTTGTGAAGGGGGGAGGGGGAGAGATTGTTGTGAAGGGGGGAGGGGGAGAGATTGTTGTGAAGGGGGAGGGGGAGAGGTTGTTGTGAAAGGGGGAGGGGGTTTACATCATTATTGTGGTCACGCCGTGATCCACCTTTAGCCGCTGATTTGGTCCTGCTTACTGCAGGACCAAGCAGTGATGCCACATTTTTCGAATTTAGATCTGTATTTTCATCGCAAAAAATCTTTTTAAAAATCTTGCTCACAAAAATCTGTATAATTTCCGTTTTATGGTCTCAGTGCGGATTTACGTAAATCTCCATTGAGCAAATTCATAGTTCAAAATAGTTCAGTTTGTTCTAAGTTTAGAATCATAAAAAATTACTAAAGTTTCATTGGCATAGCTAATGGGGGTGACAAGGGGGCCAGGCCTCTTCAGAAATACAAGTGCGGCAAACTTTATAGAAGTTTTGCGAATTTCGTAGCATTTTAATGAAGTTTGCTTTCTAAAGAATTTGTCTATTTTTAAAATCTTGAAATCCCACAATCTTGATGTGTTTTGTATCTCTTCTACAGTGAAAATTTTCGTAATGAATTACCCAAGGGAAATGTCGGCTTCGGCAATACCTTAACGTATTATCGTCAGCAGGGTAAACAAAGTTCTAGAGCACTCAAATTTGGCCAATAGATGCTCTAAAACACAATGTATCCACATGCCAAAATTAAGCTCTCAAAGACCTTGTTTACCCCCCTGACGAAGTTAAGGTATTGCTGAAGCAAACATTTCCCCTATCAAAAATCCCTAGAATTTGATTTTGTTTTTGTCTGAGGTTACGAAAACCTTTATCTGGACATTGGACATAACACAGAACTTTTACTGGAAGTTTAGTCGAATGGCATGCAATAATCTTTATTTCTATAAGTATGCTTTTCAATTATAAAAATATCAAGTTGACTCTTCGACTCACAAACTTTAATCAACCCCTTGGTTGGTTTTCTAAAATGGCTTGTTTATCGATTTGACGAAAAATATATTTAATTAACCTTCATATCTGTAACCATGTGATATGATTAATTAAACAAATAGAAAGAGAAACTAAAATCCCTTATAACGAGACATCAGAACATCTGAACATCATAAGTCCATTCGAAAGATTCCAAGGCAATTCGCATTTTAGCTGCGAATAATATTCATTTAGTGAAAAATCGATTTGGATTTGATGATCAGATTGAATTCAAGTTGCTTAGAAGGGAAAAAATAATTATTTATCGTAAATAATAAATATAAAAAAAAATATATGAAATTTATTTATACATTTATTTGAAAAATCTGAAAAATCTGTATATTTTTCAAAAATCTGTATTCTGCATATACAGATATCTGTATCAAAATATTGAAAAAAAAAATTGTATCATTACAGATAAATCTGTATATGTGGCATCACTGGGACCAAGTGCCACGCCGTCCGAAGCGAAAATGAGCAAAAGCATGACACCAGCGCTCTTTTATATCTTTTCCGGTTCAGAACCTGATAGGATTTCCCGCAGTTTTTTATGAATGGGGCGGAGCAGAAAGTTTCTTTTGTGCAGAATATGTAAAGTAGGATGGACTTTGGATGTTAATATAATTGCATATATAGAGGCACCAGATATGTTTTACCGTCAGTTGTGTGTAATTCACCAACTCAATGTCATCAAACATGTCGTCAAAGAAATTTTTTGTTCGAATTTGGTAAAACTTAGTTTTACTAATGATTGTGGTATGTTTAAAATTTATTTCCCGGAAAAAAGGGATCGCTAAAGTCTGGCTCGCTTTCGAGTTATTTTTTGTTGAGGGGGGGTTAGGAGAGGTATTTGAGGGGGGGGGGTTTAGGAGTAGTAATTGAGAGGGGGGGGGGGTTTAGGAGTAGTAATTGAGAGGGGGGGGGTAGGAAGGGTTTGATGGTGGGGGAGGGGGGTAGGAGAAGTTTGATGGTGGGGGGGTAGGAGAGGTTTGATGGTGGGGGGGGGAGGAGAGGTTGTTGAGGGGGGGGGGGCGAGAGATTGTTGTGAAGGGCGGAGGGGGTTTACATTATTGCTTTTCCTCACGCCGTGATCCCCCTTATGCCACTGATTTGGTCCAGCTTATTGCAGGACCAAGCGCCACGCCGTTCGAAGCGACAATGAGCAAAAGCATGACAGCAGCGCTGTTTTATATCTTTTCCGGTTCAGAACCTGATAGGATTTTCCGCAGTTTTTTATGAATGGGGCGGAGCAGAAAGTTTCTTTTGTGCAGAATATGTAAAGTAGGATGAACTTTGGATGTTAATATAATTGCATATATAGAGGCACCAGATATGTTTAACCGTCAGTTGTGTGTAATTCACCAACTGAATGTCATCAAACATGTCTTCAATGCAATTTTTTGTTCAAATTTGGTAAAACTTGGTTTTACTAATGATTGTGGTTTGTTTAAAATTTATTTCCCGGAAAAAAGGGATCGTCAAAGTCTGTCTCGTTTTCGGGTTATTGTTGAGGGGGGGGGGTTAGGAGAGGTATTTGAGGGGGGGGGGTTAGGAGAGGTATTTGAGGGGGGGGGGGTTAGGAGAAGTATTTGAGGGGGGGGGGGGTTAGGAGAAGTATTTGAGGGGGGGTTTAGGAGTGGTATTTGAGGGGAGGGGGTTTAGGAGTGGCATTTGAGGGGGGGGGGGGTAGGAGAGGTATTTGAGGGGGGTAGGAGGGGTTTGATGGTGGGGGGGTAGGAGAGGTTGTTGAGGGGGGGGGGGCGAGAGATTATTGTGAAGGGCGTGTGTGCTTTTCCTCATTGTGGTCACGCCGTGATCCACCTTAAGCCACTGATTTGGTCCTGCTTGCTGCAGGACCAAGCGCCACGCCGTCCGAAGCGTTAATGAGCAGTGGTATGAGAGCAGCGCTGATTTATATCTTTTCAGGTTCAAACAGAATGATGTGCAACCAAGTGGTATTCGTTTATGATGACTGGGTTTGGGAAAAAGGCTTATTTCATGAAATCAGTGATAAAATTATCATTTGTACATTTTCAAAAGTTTAATTACAGAAAAATTGGAAAAATATTTATTTCAACAGGTTCGTAATGTAATATCCTATCGATTGGCGTATTTGGATTTTAATTTCATCTATAAATGACAAAGTTACAAGCGTTCAAAACCTAACACTCCTTCACCACACATATTTTTTAACTTGCACCCCAGTATAGTCGACAAAGACGTAGTTCTACGTCAAAATCGGCCAGTTAGGGGGTGACACCCAAACCATCCACCCAGGGTGTCACCGAGTAACGCTGGTCCTGTTTCATATTTAAGCATAGTTTAGACATCTAAAATAGTTATAGTGACCAGCAAACCCCGATTAGAAATTTCCTGGTGTTGACGTAGGACTACGTCTTTAATTTCTATACTGGGGTTCACATTTAAAAAAAAAATCAAACTTCAGACATTTAACGAAAAATCCCAAACACGGACGAAACGATAGAGCACAAATCGAACACACGACACATTGCGCATGCTCACAAGAGCGAGCTCAATGCTCAGTTGACCGCTTATCTTTTCACTAATCAAAGGAAGGGAGGAGAAAAGCAGCGGTAATAAAACCCTTGCCAAATCGTTTTCTTCGTCATTTACCTTCGAGCTACGGACGGATAAGCGTCGGACATGACGTATGAATGGAACAGCAAGCATCGCACCAATACGAAGACGACGGACGACGACGAAAACACCCACATCGACCGGAGGAAAGGCTTCCCGCAATAGGCAGCATTACTAGGCCGCCGTCATCCAGTCGGCATCGACTTGCACAGGAGTTCTTTTCATAATTTTTCTTAAATAAATTTAAGACTCACTCTTGAAGTCCTTTGAACATTAATTTATAACAGCACAGAGATTTTCTGCAGACCACTCTAAAAAAATGAAATTCGTGCTTAGCTTCTCCTTACAATTCCCATGCAATCCGCATTTTTGTCTTAAAATTTTGATTTGTCTTAAAATTTTGTTGAGTTTTACCTTGTAGTTCTCTTCTAAATCCTTCTGAAAATTCACTTGAAATTCTCCTTAATATTCTTTAGAAATTCTTTTCGAGATGCCTCGATTCATCTACTAAACGTTAACGAACTTTGTCGATGTTATTCATTTCGGTCGGTTAAACAGAGTAAAGATATGGATACTTGTTTTGATCACAACGGTCGTGGACGGACAAGTTTACCGCCATTTGAAAGCTCTTTTAATGTAGTTTTAGATGCATTTGACTTCATCTGCACCTTCCTGCACCAAAGAAAGATACACAAGTCCAAAATATG